TTTCATGCCATCTCGCCCGCCGAAGCGTATGGGGAGCTTTGCCAGCGCTTTCAGTGCCATGCCATCGCAGCTGTTGCCGCCATGTTTCCCAGTGGCGTGGGCCAGTGGAATGGGACCACGGAGCTAAACCTTTCGCGACTGTACGTGGGGCCAAAGGGCGTCAGACCGGTGGTGGAGATGTGCAAACGACTCCCCGCACTGCGGTCGTTTAACTGCGCCAACAATTATCTGACAAACGACTCGGTTTACTTCATTACACGGATGGCAATGTTCCACCCGGCGTTGGAGAGGATTGAACTTAGCTACAATGAGTTTATCTCATGGACGGGCGGCACGTTTTTGACGGAGCTGGTGGTGCGCAACACAAACATAAAGGAGGTTGGCATTCGTTCCACGGCGATCCCGACACGCGTTGCGGAGGCGGTATTTGAACAGACGCGGCGTAATTGCGTTCTCGCGTACCAAGCGGTAGGGCGAATGCCAAAACCAACCAATCATCCAGCCGCTATTCATCTGCGGACCATGAAACGATTTTTTATGGATATCCAGGAGAACGGTACTGTTCCCGTCTCGGCTCTTGTCGATGGGTTTCGCGAGCGCCTTCGTATTCTCGGCCAAGAGCGGGACCTCAGCAAGTACACAGAAAGTTTCTTTGAGACTCTCTGCCGGCAAGTACCACAGGACCGCATTACGTGGGAGGCATTTATTCTAACTCTGCGAATGGATGGCAGTTTGTATGACGCGGACTTTGTGAAAAAGGTTCAGCGTGTCTTTTTAGAATTTAATATTGAGCCTTCAGCAGGGACGGAGGGCTTTGTAGAGGTGCGAGATCTTGCTGCCATGTTTACGCGTCTTTACGGTGAACCACCGACGCCGAAGGAACTCGCCAATATGCGGAGTTTGTTGGGGCTCAATGATACCATGACGCTTCACTGGGATGAGTTTTTGCCGTTGATGTACATTCGGGGTCCAAAGGATAAGTGCATGGCTATGGGATGGAATCTCTCTCCACTTTACATCCCAACGATGCTGCACTTTTGATGCGATGGACCTTTTTTCTTTTTTCTTTTTTTTTTTGTGTGTGTTTGCGTACAGTGCGTTTTTTTATCTTTTATCTTTTTTTTTTTTTTCTTTTGCGAATTATGTATCTTGTTTTTTCACATGCGCATTGGTGCGGAGGCGTTTTATAGTTCCGGGCGGTGATTTTTTATTTTATTTTATTTCTTTTTAATTTTTTATTTATGGATGCTTTGCGTCGATTGTTCTCATGGGCGCCCTGTTTTTCTCTATTTTTTTTTTTTTTTTGTTTTGTTTTATGCCATTAATTTTGTTGTGAACTGTGAAAGGGAGGGAGTGGGGTGGCGGGGAAATTTGTGAGAGAAGTGGTGGTTCGGGGGCGGAAGGAAATTTGCAGCAACGGCGCGGAGAATATTTATTCGAAGAGAAAGACCGATAGGGAGAGCGAGAGAAGAAAGGGATTGCGTGCACGATGCTTGCCTCTCCGCAGTGTACATTGGGGGGAGAACTTCTTGCCGCAAACGTTACTCCCATCTCTGCCGTTTATTGTGACCCGAGCGGTGGCCTTTGGGCGATTCACGCCTCTGGGATGTGTGTCTTTTACTTTTCTGCATCTGCGGTGGCCGATATAATTTCGTCAACGTCGTCTTCGTCCTCGGCTTCTTTTTCGGGCGTGGCGGCCATAGGGGCGAAATCGAAGGTACCTTCTGCTCCTATTTTTGAGTGCAGCGAGGAGGATCAGATCCTTGCGGTTGTATTTCCGACGACATGCAATGCAAGCCGCTTGTTTGCGTGTATTGCCACGACGGAAGGTCGGCTCGTGTTGGTAGACACTGAGGAGCCTGTGAATGTGCTTCGCCAGTGTGATATTGGTACACTGTTCACAGCCGTGACGCCTGTACCGATGGACGCGGCGGGTGAGGCGGCAGAGGATGGGGCCGGTGTGTTGGTTTCATCGTTTGACGGGACATTTAGTGAGGTGGTGTTTGTCCACTGGGAGGGTGATGACAAGGCGGTGGTGACTGCAACGGGCCTATTTCGCATTCGCGGTAATCTTCACAACGTGATACTCGATGAGGCTTCCAAGCGCATTTTAACCATCACTAAGCATGGAGAAGTAGACGTGTGGAACTGGCGAAAGGGATTTGACGAGACGCTTTCGTTTGGCATGCTGGCCTACTCCGTTGACGACTACGGCGAGCCGTCATGCAGCATACTGCTCAGCGGGGGACGCCTGTGGATCGGGACGATGATGGGCTACATTGTTGTCTTTCATTTGAGGCCAGGCGTGAGTGATGGGTCGCCGCGGCACGTGTGGCAGGCACACAGTAATGCGGTGGCCATACGGAGTCTTCTTTTGATGTCGCTTGGGCGTCACATCTGGAGCTACGCAGCGGACCGACAGGCGCTTGTCTGGGATGCGGAGGCATGGACGCTACAGGGATCTTTTCAGTTTCCGGGCGATGGGTTTTCAAAACTGCACGGTGGCCTGCGCTGCATGGATACCATTGCGTGGGGCATTGATGAGACGGCAGGGACGGTGACGTGGTTTACCGTAAAAGAGCCTTTTTTGCGAGCAGATTGTGGATTACCTTTTGGGCGCGACGAGTGCGTCATGCCGCGGGGCGAGGTTGAGCGTCTGCATTTGCTTGAGACGCTCGTCTCACACCTTTGTTCACAGGTGCTACATGCAGCGTCCAGTGACGAGGGAACGGCGGTGCGGGAGAGGAGTTCGAGCCCTAATGACGAGCAGACGCCGAAAAATGGGGTGAACGAAGAGGAGGAGGAGCAAAACATGGCAACACCGCCGCACATTGAATTGGCGCTGCAGCAGCTCGACGAAGATCATCCGAGCGCACGACTGCTTCCACCAGCCGTGGCGTCGCTTGTCGTGGGCTGGCGGATGGTGCGAAGGACGCTTGCGGACGCCGGGATGCGTTCACGGAGTTTTCTGGAGGACGTCCAAGTTCTCCTGCAGGATAACCGCCGACACAAAGAGTTGCAGACGCAAGTTCGCCGTTGCCTTGCGGAGCTCCGTCAGGAATTGCAGCACGGCGACGTGTGCGATACCCTCGACGACGTGGTGGACGTCTTTCGAGCCCTCGTACGACGTGTGGAGGAAGACTCACCTGCAGCGTCGCCGGCCCATTCGGCAATCGACCGAAACCGGCGGACGCCCTCAAGAACCCACAGTGGCTCTACAGACGACGCCATAAAAACGGTTCCGTCCCTTGTGGAGGCAAGTGACGACGTGCGTGCAAGGCGGCTGGAGGAGGATCTCATGCATGAAAGACAGCGCCGGGAGCGCAGTGAGATGCAGCTTACAGAAGCGTATGACGAGAAGCGGGAGCTGCAGCGACAGTTGACTCAATCCATGCGTCTCCAGGAAGACTACGAGGAGCGTTTGTTGTCGCTTGAGCGGTCTCTTAAGACAGCAAAGAAGGCCGCGGCAGTGACAGCGACAGAGGCGGCACGATTCTCTGAGATGGAGGCGAATCTCAACGAGGCACATCACACGATTCATGTGCTGCAGGATAAATTGGAGGGCCTCATGCGTGAGAGACAAGAGTCTCTTCAAACAGCACAGGAGAATAAATCTCTGCATGCCGAAGTTCAGAATTTCCAGATGAAGGAGCAGGTCGCCAGACGGGCATTGGCTAGCTTTATCGAGACGCAAGATTTTATGCTTGACAAACTGAGTGACGTGCTACAACACACGAACACGGAAGTGGAATTGTACTCTGAGGTTTCGTCTCTTTACGAGATGTTCTGTTCCCGTGTGGAGATGCAGCATGGGTTTCTTGTTGAACTTAAGCGCGGCTACGCACGGCAGCGCGATAAAGACACATGATAGAGATATTTTTGCTTCCCCAAGTCTATTTCCATATATATATATATAGAGAGAGAGAGAGAGAGGGAGGGTGTGTGTGTGTAGCATATCTATAGATGCTTTCCGGTTTTTCATTCTGCTGCTTCTTCCACCTCGATTATTATTTTTTAAATTTCTATTTCTTGTGTACATTTAATTAGTGGATGCTGCTGCTGCTGCTGCTGTTTGTGTGTGTGTGTGTGTGTGTGCTTGTGGGAGCCTCACAAAATTCCCTCTCATAATGGCGTTTTTGTGTGTTTTTTCCATCCTCTCCATTTTGAAGCCTTTTTTTTTTTTTCTTTTTTTAAAAATTTTCACAGAGGAAATAGAAGAAAAGAAGTAAGACGTCTTTGGTTTGCGTAGGGACTTTTTTTTTTTCCGCTGAATTTCAGGTTTTCAGGCTTTGTGTTGGAGGGAGGGGGAAGGGTGAAGGGCGATGGACGACAGAACGCTTCAGTGCACGTTGGAGGTACACAGCGGGGACGGTGAATGCACGCGGCGGACGTTTACCGTAAAGCATTTGCCGCGTACGCTCCGGGAAGTGGTGGAGCTGTTGAAGGCACAGGACCTGCGGCTGCAACGTGGTGATTTTGAATTTAGTGTCATTTGCGGTGAGTCGAGCAGTCCACAGCAGTTACTTGCAGACGGAGATGTAAATAATTTATTTTCTTCATTTGCTTCAGAGCGACTGCTTTTCAAAGTGACGCTGCAAGAGCGGGTGGGCGGTCTGGTCAGCTCCATGCTCGCTGACGATAGCCTTGTGCACCTGCGCATCTACCACCGGGGCAACGATTTGGTGACGGAGAAGCGATTCATTCCGCCTCGGCGTGGTGTGCGTGAGGCACTGGTAATAGCTGTGCGTGATGCCATCCAACAGCCTCCCCCGGCGTCGGTGGGTATGCAACTTTACGCAATTGTGGGCGACATGTGTGATCAGACTGTACTAAAGGACGAGGACGCCATCAACACCTTCCTGCGATCTTGCATGGCAACACGCTCGGTGTGTCGTCTGACATACCAGTTTGATAATGAAGGTGTGATCAATGAAGCTGACGCATCTATTCAAACAAAAAACCTTGATGTCAACAATGCACAGATGCCTCCATCGGATCCCATCCAGGCCAACAGTGCTACACCCCAGATGCCAAAGCGCAACGATGGCGATGGCGCTCTCTGCGAAACACCGAGCCGTGCGGAGGATGAGTCCAATGCGCTCTGCGAAACACCGAGCCGTGCGGGGAATGAATCCAATGCGCTCTGCGAAACACCGAGCCGTGCGGAGGATGAGTCTAATGCGCTCTGCGAAACACCGAGCCGTGCGGGGAATGAATCCAATGCGCTCTGCGAAACACCGAGCCGTGCGGGGAATGAATCCAATGCGCTCTGCGAAACACCGAGCCGTGCGGAGGATGAGTCTAATGCGCTCTGCGAAACACCGAGCCGTGCGGGGAATGAATCCAATGCGCTCTGCGAAACACCGAGCCGTGCGGAGGATGAGTCCAATGCTCAAGCGAGCTCGGTAGTCCCGGTCAATGATGTCAATTCTGCGTTGGTTTCTAAGAGCAGTTCGCATAATGGTTCTGCTGCGTCAGAGCCGTTGACTCAAATGGATGCCGTTAGTGTTCCGCCGGAGACCGCTGTCAGTGCTGCCCGGAATGCGTCTCCTTTGCGTGAATTGGCAAAGAATGGACGCCAGCTTTTGGACGGTGCAGGTCACTTGAAACAGAACGACGGGGATCCCCCGGCAGTCACTTTAACTGCAAAATATGAGGAAGCACCGCGACCAATTATGCTTGTTGCGGAAGAGAAGGTGCCGGCCGTGGCGGCTTCTGGGCGTTGCCATGCTGTGGATGCAAAAATTAAAAAGGAAAAGCTTCGGATTGAAATTGAGTGCGCATTCGGTGATTCAACTGTTGTTTTTCCCTTTTCCTGGCGACGGGATTCAGCAAGTGTTTTGCAATCGCTTCGTGAGGCCTGCTTGATTGCTTTGGAAGTACCTCGGGGCGAAAATTTGAATTTGTATGATCGGAAGGGCGCTGTTTTGCACACCGAGGAGGATACATGTAAACGGCTAGAATCCATCCTTCTGTCTGGCTGCACCCGAATTGGTCTCGTGCTGTGGTCGGGCCACCCATGCACGTCGGGCCTCCCGCTGCAGTGCTGCGTCTCGTGGGGTACACAACAAATAGTTATGGTATGCACCGTGGAGCCGGAGATGGCGCTGATGGATCTGCGGCGTGCGATCCTGGACGAGTATGGTATGGACTACAGGACCATCGATGGTTTGCATCTTTTCCTGGGTAATGGAGAAATGGAAGCCGAGTCAGAGTTGACAAGTAGCCGGGCTTACGAGCAGCTTAAGGCCGCTTCACTTCATGAAGAGCTGGTGAATATTAGGGTGTCAATTCGTGATGGACCTTCACTGTGCTTGTCCATGGAGGGAAATTTGCCCCTTAAAACCGCGGCGTTTGTAGAGGAGGCCTTGCTTGTGCTCGGAGATCGACCCCATTCAAACGACGTGTCAAAATTTTTTGAAGAATGTTCTGGGAAGACAGGGGCGCTTGGAAAGGATGCCAAAGATTTCATTGCGCTTGTTATTGTAATGCTCTCAGAGCCCCGCATCTTGACACGTGAGAGGTTGACATCGTTCCTCCTCAAGACGGCAGCGCCTTGCAGTGAGGAGGGGGTTCTTGAGGTATTGAACCGCTGCGTTGCGCTTGCGCAGTTGCGTGCGGTGCGTCGCCCCTTTGACGTACTAAAACGTTTTTTCAGGCGACTGTACAGGGTTATCCAGATCCCAGAGGGGGCTAAAGGCATCCCACTCACGATGGTTACGCATCAGTTGGCGCAAGCCGGGCTCTCGGATGCGAAGGGGTTGCTGCGGCGCGATCGCACAATCTTGGCAGAGTTGCAGGAGAATGATTACACGGAGCTTTTTTTGCGGCTTTATTTCACGGATGCCAAGATGATTACTCGTGCGGTTGTGGCGGCACGTCTGTCAGGGATAGGCAAAATAAGAAGCCGGCGTGTTATGACAAGGAGGGGACAAGAGATGCTGCGGGAGGACTTTATGCACGAAATCCGACACGCCTTTGACGGAATACGTTCCACGGATGTTTTGAAGTTTTTGAGGAGCCAAGAGCCGCACCCTGAGCCGAAGTTTCGCTGTTTGCTGAGTGTTATGGGGTCGCTTTTAGCCACTCATCCCGTGCAGCATCCCGATCATTGGTTTGTGGAGCGATTTCGAGGAAAGGTGGCGGACGCTCTGGACGTCAAACTACGCACATTTGAGGACTCCGTAGTTTCGACACCGCAGTTGTACCGGCTCTGCTGGGACGTGCTGAAACCGGACATGCACCATCTTTTGCTTCTTCCTGAGTCTCCCGTGGCAAGTGCCCTTGCGTGCTGGGCCTTCTTTGCAGTACAATTAATATGCGTCAACCGCCATTTGGAATTTCCACCTGTGCCGTTGGTGGATTTGCAAGAGTTCTCCCTAGTGGGATTACCGATTTCACCAGTAGAGATTGCAAGGGATGACGCCTTAAACGTTGTTTCTCCCGCTGCAGCCGCCAGTGGCGGTAATGGTGGCGGTGCGGCTGCTGCATTGCCGTTCCGCACGAATAAGCCAAGGATAAAATACAAGTACAGCTATCTCTGCCATGATCTTTGCCGGGATGTTCGTGTGGAGCGTCCCTTGAAGTAGTGTGTTGGGGTGATGTATCAATGTACATACACATTTATTTATGTAAGCCCCGCTTTTTTTTTTTTTTTTTTTTTATGGCTTCCCTCTGCCTGTGTGATTATGTAACTTGCACCTCTTCACGCTTAAAGTACTTGCGTGGTGGTGGTGGGGTAGACGTGCTCTCGCCTTTACCCCCGACACACACACACACACACGGGAGAGGGGCAGAAAAGGTGACGAAAGAGAGAGAGAAAAAGAAGAAAAAGAAAACAGAAGACGACGGGAAAGGAGAAAAAAGAGGAAAAAAAAAAAAAAAAAGGAAGCAGAACTAAATCAAAACTCTTTCAAGAAAGAAAAAGAAGATGGAAAAAGTAAAAGGAAGCAGGCTGTGCTCTGTCTTTCCTGAACATGTAAATTTTTTTTTTTTTTTAATACTTAATTGCGGCAAGCGCCCACTTTTTTTTTTGTTTTTTTATACTGGTTTATTTACG